CGGTGGCGCTGTTCAGTAGGGAGTTTCTGGCGGTGGCCAGACGCAGCTGCGGCGGATTCCGCGTGTGACCCTTACGTCCCAGCAGCTCCATGAGTGGTACGCTCAGCGTGGGGCATCTCCGAGTACTGCTCGCTGCCCGTACGTCATTCGCACAGGTGCTCGGGCTGGTCAGACTTGCGGGACACCTGGCCACACACAGTCCCGCAGCTTCGCCTGTCTAAGCGACTCCTGGCGCGCAGAGTTTGGCGACAAGGCTGAGCTCCCCCGCTGGCTAGAGTTGCTTCGGGACAAGGTGGACATATTTGCTCTAGACTATGACACTATCCTTACTGCCATGTATGCTTTGACTGCTGGTACTGAGAGTGACTCCTACTTGTGTGTGCCGCCCGACCCTGGTATAGAGGCTGCTGCTCTAGGTGCTAGTGAGTCTGCTCTCTCTGGTACTGCGCCTGCTGAGGCCTTGCACACCTTCACGCTTGACTCAGGTGCTTCTCGCTGCTTCTTTCGCGACAGTACCACAGTCACACCACTCCCTAGACCCGTTACAGTCTCACTGGCTGGCCCTTTCTGGGGGCCCAGTTCTTGCACGTTCTTGCACGTGTCCGGCGGTTCCGTCCGGCTCACTGTCAGGTCTCCACCTCCCCTCGTTCTTGACGAACTTGGTGAGTAACGCGGTCCTTCAAGATGTAGGGGTTGATACCTTTACCCCTGGAGGCCAGCGAGTGGCAATCTGTACGTGCTCCCGGACTGGCCGTCACCTGGCCACGTTCACCCGTCGGCCTGGGTCGAGTCTGTACACACTGACTACTGAGCCTCCTCAGGTTGCTGCGTCTGGTCAGGTGTCCGCGTCAGGTCAGGTAGCTCCCCCCTGCTCGTGTCGCCTCCTGTCGCACCAGACTCTCCTTAAGCACCACCGCCTTGGTCACCCCTCCCTGCCACGCCTCCGTGGCATGCACTCCCGCCTTCTTGTCTCTGGTCTTCCCAGGTCTCTGCCTTCCCTCCCACCCTCGCCTGCCCCGCCCTGCGTTCCTTGCGTCGAGGGGCGGCAGCGCGCCGCTCCTCACTCCTCCTCGTTTCCCCCGACGGCTTCTCCCTTGCAGACTCTCCACATGGACGTGTGGGGCCCAGCCCGCGTCCAGGGACAGGGCCGCGAGCGGTACTTTCTGCTGGTTGTTGACGACTACTCGTGTTACACCACGGTCTTCCCGTTACGCAGCAAGGGGGAGGTCCCTGATGTCTTGATCCCTTGGATCTGCGCTGTCCGTCTCCAGCTCCGCACAGACCTTCCCGTACTGCGTCTGCACTCTAACAGAGGTGATGAGTTCTCCTCCGACCTCTTGCGGGACTTTTGTCGTGGGGAGGGCATCATTTACTCTTTCACGCTTCCGGCCTCCCCGCAGCAGAATGGGATTGCAGAGCGCCGCATTGGCTTAGTCATGGATGTCGCTCGTACCTCCATGATCCATGTGGCTGCTCCCCATTTTTTGTGGTCGTTTGCGGTCCGGGTCGCTGCGCATCAGCTCAACCTCTGGCCCCGTATCTCCTTGCCGGAGACCTCGCCTACAATGCTTTGGACGTGGGAGGGTGGCGATGCGTCGGTGTTCCGGGTCTGGGGCTCTCGTGCCTTTGTCCGCGATACCTCTGCGGACAAGCTCTCCTCCCGCACCATTCCCTGTGTCTTCCTTGGCTTCCCTCCTGACGCGCCATGTCCTGTTCTCGCCTCTCAGGACGTCACGTTTGACGAGTCCTGGCCGCGCCTAGCTGGCAGTTTTACCACCCCACCTCGCGCCGTGTCCTGCCCTCTCAGGACGTCACGTTTGACGAGTCGGTTCCCTTCTACCGTCTCTTCCCCTACCGCTCTGCCCCTCTCCCCCCTCCGCCGCACTTCCTCGCTCCAGGTCCTCCTCCGGTAGACCCCCTTCCCCCTCAGGGTCCTGCTCCTTCAGGTGTCTCTCAGGTAGACCCACTTCCCTTGGCTGAGCCTGTCGAGGTCACTGGTGACTCTGGTGCTGCTGGGGGTGGTGCTACTCGGGCACTGCGTCTGGGGGTGCTGAGCCTGAGCGTGCGGAGCCTGGGGGTGCTGAGCCTGAGCGTGTGGAGCCTGGGGGTGCTGAGCCTGAGCGTGCGGAGCCTGAGGGTGCTGAGCCTGGAGGTGCTGCGTCTGGGGGTGCTGAGCCTGGGGGTGCTGAGCTTGGGGGTGCTGAGCCTGGGGTTGCTGCGTCTGCTGGTCGTCCTCCGGGTGCCTTGCTGCAGCGGTCTAGCCATTGAGAGCCTATCTTGCCCCAGCAGCTGCGCGAGTGGTTTGCCTGGCGCACCCGCCTTCGGAGTCGCGATACTGGAGCTCAGGGCACTGACGCTGGAGGCGCTGGAGCTAGAGGTGCTGGAGCTGCAGACGCTGGAGCTGGAGGTGCTGGAGCTGGAGGCGCTGGAGCTAGAGGCGCTGGAGCTGGAGGCCCCTGAGCCAGAAGCGCTGATGCTGGAGGTACCGGAGCTGGAGGTA